CTGTATTTTATTTCTACAAGACACCAAGCATTGTAAATGGATGACCACAACAAAAGCAGCAATGATTGCAATTACCAAACACGAAACACACTCACACTGTGTCATAATAGTGACAGACCCAAGTTCTGACCATGGATTGATAAATGCTAACACAATCACATGTAAGATAGAAGTGTTACAACCCTTCATACGTGCCAGGCTCCATTCCAAGCATTTTACATATAATAATTCATATTACTCCTCACAACAGCCCTAGGAGGTAGGTCATGTTATTTTTCTCATTTTACAGCAGAAGACCCTGAAGCACAGAGAGCTGTTTACCCAAGGACCTGGATTCATGCCGGCCTGTGCAGCCCCAGTGACCATTCTCTTATCCACACACAATGCCAATAGGTGGTCCTGCCTCCTTCAAATCTCCCACCTCGGACTCCTTCCTGCCTAGAACCTTCTCTGTCTCTCAGTTTTCTTACAGCCTCCTCACTGGCCTCCCTGCCTCTAGACTCTACCCCTCCAGCTCAGCCTCTTCACTACAGCCTGGGTGATCCTTTCCAGAACTTATAAAACCCAAATCTGACTGCAGGTCCCAGTTGCCCTCAGAATAAAGTTGCAACACCATTCTCTTCAGGGTGGTTTAAAGATTTTCACCATAAACATATAACGTGTTCACACATAGATACACCAGTATTCGCAGTTACCCAGTACTTACCCAGCACCAGGAACACGTCAAGCACTCTGCCTGTCCCATTGCATTAAATCTTCACCAAAACCCTTAAATGGGTGCTTTTATTATCATTTCAGTTTCACCAATGAAGGCAACTGGGACACAGAGGTTAACTTTCTTGCCCCAGGTCATAAAGGTGGGGACACTTAAGCCCAAGTCATCTGTAGCTTCACCGCTACCCTCTAATGGCTCTTGGGAGGGGAGCTTTTCTGATGAAGCACTTCCTGGGTGCCAGGCACTGCCCTAGGCCCTTTCTCTGCCTGGGTCCCGGTGGGCCCATCTCACCAGCCTCTTCTTGCCTATTCCCCTCCCGTATACTGCTGCCCAATCTTTCTATTCACTGTGCCATTTTGCCATCTCCGTGCCTCAGCTCAGAGCTCCCCAGCCTGTTTGCCACAAGTGAGACAGGCTGGGACCTGGGACCCTTCGCTGGGACCTGGGCCCCTTTGCTGCTGTGCTGCAGTGCTTGTACCTGGACACACCTCTCCTCCAGCAACAAAATACAAAGAAACTGTATGGGACTAAAAATGACTGCATACATGCACAGTTGGGGCAAATTTTGGACCCAAAAATACAAAGAGACCAAAAACCCAAATGCCACTTTTGCAGAACCTGGAGCAAAAGCAGGGTGTCGGGAGCAAAAGCAGGGCACTGCGCATGCCCCCTGCACACAACACCACCTAAGGGGTGGGCAAAACACCTAAGCCACCCCTCTGGCCCAACCCCTGGACACACCCCTACCCTCATCCCATGTAAGAAACGAGCTTGCCCCCCTTCAGGGAGTGAGAAAGCAAGGGAACCTGTTGTTTGTTCTCGTTCCCCCACTGCAGCAGGGGCCCCAGTAAAGCCTTGCCTGCATTTCTTGTCTGGCCTCTAGTCGATTTCTATGGATTGGGGAAGGCCAAGAACCCTAGTCGATAACACAAGGACTTTCAGGAGGGCCCGGATATGCATCACCTTGGACAGGGCGAGCATTTGGCTAGAATGCACCTCAACAGCTGCACCCTCTGTGCCTAAAAGATACTGAAATCCTTCTGAGTCACTTAGCAAAGAGCCACTGCCCTGAGCACTGCACTACCCCAGCTGCCCTAGCCCCTCGCCTGGGATTGCATCCTCTCTTCACAGCCCAGCAAGAAAAGGGCTCCTCTAGGCACAGCCTCTGACTCCCTCAGGGGCCACGGAGGGCCAGCCTGTGCTCATCCCTTGCCTTTCTCTCCCCAGTCCTGAGGAGCCCCACCAGCCCCACCAGGGACCACCCAGCACTCGCCGGTCCACGAGTCCATCAAGACTGAACGCCAATCCCGATTCCCACATAGCTACCTGGGGAGGTGGCACCCTGGTGACACCCTGAGGGCAAGTGCCCGGCGTCCATCTGGACCCCTGAGGCTAGCGTTCCCCTGCAGCTGTCCTTGCGTGGCCACTGGTGAAAATGGCAGCCTCTCGGGAAGCTGGGGAGAGGTGGGGAGAGCAGGCCAGGAGACACAAATGGGGGCCCTGCAGGCCTCTGCTGGGACTGCTCCTCTGCCAGTGCTGGGGTGGGGGGCTTTCAAGGGCCCAAGGAAGCTTTTCACCAACCCTGATGAATGGAACAAATCTATTAGAATAAATTCACTGAAACTCACTAAAAGCCCACTCATCAAGGACATTAGTTTTATTGCTAAAATGAGAACTATCGCTTAGAGTGCTTGCTGTATACCCACTGTAAACATTTATTAACTTACTTGTGTACTATAATTATAATCATCACCCCATTGTAGAGATGAGGGGGTTAAGGCACAGAGAAATTATTTTAAATGTAAGCATCAGAGTCAGGATTCGAACACAGGCAGCCCAACACTCTCTTAACTACCATACTCTTAACCACCATGTTACACAGGTTCTCCCAAGGCCTGTAAGATCAGGTTCGATGTAATTTATATGACATGCTAATAACAGTTTTATGACTTAGTTGACAACAGAGATGCTTGAATATATAAAATCTCAGAGAGCATTAGAAGACCTAGGAATTGTGAGTGTCAGTGCTACTGTTTCAGCAGAAGCTGAGCTAGACTCAGCCCAAGAATGGATGCATTGGTGTCGAGAGAAAGTCTCTACTTAATGAGACTGCAAGTCACCTAATGACTCAGTTTATTGAGAGAGCTTTGAAAGATAGGGACATCTTCAAAAGATGACAACCACATCAGACAATCCCCACAAATTTTCTAAACATCAACAAATTATTTGGAAATTATTAGAATAATCTGATGAAAGAATTGAGCCTCAACTTATATTGCTTTTAAGCCATTTTAATATATACTAGGTGGGCCAAAATGTTCGTTCGATTTTTTCCGTAAGAAAAGTGCTCTGGTAGCACTTAGTTGTCTTTAACTTAATTTGAAACAATTTTGTTAGATTGTATGTGACAGCTGTCATATCACCCTGCATTTAAAAAAAGACTTACCAAAATTGGTGAATTTTTGTGTAGCCATTTTTTTTTTTTTTTTTTTTGTGGTACGCGGGCCTCTCACCGTTGTGGCCTCTCCCATTGCGGAGCACAGGCTCTGGACGCGCAGGTTCAGCGGCCATGGCTCACGGGCCCAGCCGCTCCGCGGCATGTGGGATCTTTCCGGACCGGGGCACGAACCCACGTCCCCTGCATCAGCAGGTGGACTCTCAACCACTGCGCCACCAGGGAAGCCCTGTGTAGCCATTTTAATATTGAAGACAGAAGAAAAAAAGCTATATTTTCGGCAATATTATGTTTTATTATTTCAAGAGAGGTAAAAACGCAACTGAAACGCACAAAAAGGTTTGTGCAGTGTATGGAGAAGGTGCTGTGACTGATCAAACGTGTCAAAAGTGGTTTGCGAAGTCTAGTACTGGAGATTCCTCGCTGGACGATGCTCCATAGTCGGGTAAACCAGTTGAAGTTGATAGTGATCAAATCAAAACAATAATTGAGAACAATCAACGTTATACCACGTGAGAGATAGCTGACATACTCAAAATATCCAAATCAAGCGTTGAAAGGCATTTGCACCAGCTGGGTTACGTTCATTGCTTTGATGTTTGGGTTGACATAAGTTAAGCGAAAAAACCTTTCTTGACCATATTTCCGCATGCAAGTCTCTACTGAAACGTCATGAAAATGTTCCATTTTTATAACGAATTGTGACGGGCAATGAAAAGTGTATACTGTACAATAATGTGGAATAGAAGAGATCATGGGGCAAGCAAAATGAACCATCGACAACCACACCAAAGGCCAGTCTTCAACCAAAGAAGGTGATGTTGTGTATATGGTGGGATTGGAAGGGTGTCCTCCGTTGTGAGCTCCTTCCGGAAAACCAAACGATTCATTCCAACAAGTACTGCTCCCAATTAGACCAACTGAAAACAGCACTCGACGAAAAACATCCAGAATTAGTCAACAGAAAACGCATGATCTTCCATCAGGATAACGCAAGACCGCATGTTTCTTTTTTTGTTTTTTTTTTGTTTTTTTCCTTTTTTGTGGTACGCGGGCCTCTCACTGTTGTGGCCTCTCCCGCTGTGGAGCACAGGCTCCGGACGCGCAGGCTCAGCGGCCATGGCTCACGGGCCCAGCCGCTCCGCGGCATGTGGGATCTTCCTGGACCGGGCATGAACCTGTGTCCCCTGCATTGGCAGGCGGACTCTCAGCCACTGCGCCACCAGGGAAGCCCCGCATGTTTCTTTTTTAAAAAATAAATTTATTATTTTATTTATTTATCTGTGGCTGCGTTGGGTCTTCTTTGCTGTGTGCAGACTTTCTCTAGTTGTGGTGAGTGGGGGCTCCTCTTTGTTGCGGTGCGTGGGCTTCTCACTGTGGCTTCTCTTGCTGCGGAGCATGGGCTCTAGGCACATGGGCTTCAGGAGTTGTGGCACGCAGGCTCAGTAGTTGTGGCGCTCGGGCTTAGTTGCTCCATGGCAACGTGGGATCTTCCCAGACCAAGGCTCGAACACGTGTCCCCTGCATTGGCCGGCGGATTCTTAACCACTGCGCCACCAGGGAAGCCCAAGACCACATGTTTCTTTGATGACCAGGCAAAAACTGTTACCGCTTGGCTGGGAAGTTCTGATTCATCCACCATATTCACCAGACATTGCACCTTTGGATTTCCATTTATTTTGGTCTTCACAAAATTCTCTTAGTGGAAGAAATTTCAATTCCCTGGAAGACTGTAAAAGGCACCTGGAACAGTTCTTTGCTCAAAAATATAAAAAGTTTTGGGAAGATGGAATTATGAAGTTGCCTGAAAAATGGCAGAAGGTAGTAGAACAAAAGGGTGAATACGTCGTTCAATAAAGTTCCTGGTGAAAATGAAAAATGTGGCTTTTATTTTTTAAAAAACTGAAGGCACTTTTTGGCCCGCCCAGTAGTGTAGAAGAGATCACCCCGTCCTGCCGAGCCCCACAGGTCCAGGTACGTCAGGCCTTCTCCACGCTCAGCTGGTCCTGCCTCCACGTGTGGTTTGAAAATCAAAGAAAATATATTTTGACGTTTTTAGTAGATTGATTTATTATTCATATTTCCAAAGTGGTTGTTAAATATGTTTAATGTCATAAAACCCCTCAACCTGAGGTGACCAGAGCCTCCTAGTCAGCAACCTTCAGCCAGTGGACCCTACAAATATTATTTTCTAAGTATTCTATAGAAACACTGCCTTATCTCAGGCTTTTCTCTCTCTGGTACTGCCTTTCCTGTTCCTCATTTTGGAAAACTCCTACACATCCTGCAAGGCTTAGTTCCAACACCACCTCTCTGTGAAGCCTTCCCCACCAGCCCTCTCCAGACAGAAGAAATCACCCCTCCTGCTGAGCCCCACAGCTCCCTGGGCATCTGGCCTTCTCCACCCTCAGCTGAGCTGCCTCCCCTCGTGGTCTGCACAGCTCTGTTTCCATCACACCCCACCCAGACCGGGAGCCTCTTTAAGGCAAGCCTGGGTCAGATGTTAGATTCATCTCTATAATGAATCTGTCCCCAGGGTCCAGCAGAGGCAAGACCCAGGGGAATCCTTTGTGAAATATTCCTAAATGGCAATGAATTGGATTTGTTTGAATCCTGTGAGGGTTTGACCTGTGTTTCAACCTCCCACCTGCCTGGGTCAGAAAGCGGGTCATCTGAGGCCTTGAGGGTAACCCTGGTAGAGGAGTGGCCTGATTGGGAAGGTGCCCAGGACAGACATGTGTAGCTATGTTGGGAAGAGAATAAGGTGCTGAGAGCCAAGAGGCCTTGAGGGAAGGCTGGAGACGCCATGGGTAACCTCACCCCAAACCCTTTACACTCCTCCAGCCAATCAGACAAGCCCCTCCAGGTACCCAGCCAATAACTACCTATCCCAGACACCCACACAGACACCAACCAGATGCCCAGACACACCCAGACTCAGACTTCCTCACACATCAGACACACGACACCATGTGTACACACTCAACCAAACATGCAGACCCAAGCCAGCCGTACATACCTAGATGAATACACGCCAATCAGTAACACGTACACACCCAGCCAGGCACATACACCAAGGCCCGTAACCAAACCCAAGCAGCGGACAGCCAGACACACACCCATCCAGCACACAGTAAAACGCCAGCAGGAGGCACACACAAGCAGACCCTTTACTGTTTGCAGTAAAGGAATCTAAACTCACCAATGCACACAGATGCGACCTCCCCGCGCACACAGGAATCTTCTCCATCACACGGATTCGCCGCAGCAACCCCATTAGCCCAGATTTCCTCCTCATCAACCAGGGAGGGGCAGCTGCTCTCTGGGGGCAGATTGATTTATCCAACTAATTAGCCCCAATTAATATTAATACACATTCTCAGGAACTGCAGCAGCTCGGGCAGAGAAGCTGCCTGGGCCATCAATCACCGTCCAGGGGACAGCAGAGGACACTCAGGAACTCCAGAGCACGGGGACAGCACCTCAGGCACTACCCCAACCCCCGCTCCCCAGGCTCCCAGAGGGAGTCCGCCACTATCACCCAAGACACCACCAGCCCACCCCTCCTGGGGCAGTTGGGGAGCCCAAGGCCCAGAAAGGGACTGTCACATCCTGCAGGCCACACGGCAAACCGCAGGCATGGTGCAGAGTTGTCTCCGTGCCTCTCCTTCCCCCGCTCCCTCTGCCGCTCTGGGAAGGCTTTGCTGACTTACCCGCAGCTAAACCGCTTCACTGCGAGGCCCAGCCCAGCCACAGTGACTTGCCTCAGTGCCTTGCACTATCCCCAGCCAAGCTGTCCAAGCCCCCTTTTAAGAAACATAGCTTCCTGGGAGGACCCCATCTCCAGTGACCCCATGTGCTTTGCACCTGTCATGTGCTCAGCAAACATTTGCAGAGCCCTGTGCTGGCGGGGGGAGGGGGGGTGAGAGGCAGAATATGTAGAGCAGGGTCCTGTCCCAGTGGGGTCTGGGGGTGCTCAGGGGCTGAAAGGGCCCTGGCCTCCTACCTCCAATCACCTCCATAAGTTTATTTTATTTCAACAAATAGCCCAGGTAAACACCCACAGTTCTGCTGAGCCCTGTGCTGGGCACTGGGAGAAAGGGAAAATACACTGCCCCCGACTTCAAGGGGCTCAAAGGACACAGATGGAGGAGGAACTGACAGGGACACAAGGAGCCAGGATGGGGAGCTGAGTGGGGGGCTGCTCCCTGTCTTCTGAAGAAGATGGGGCAACAGGAGGGGCCCTGTCCTAAGGTGGGACCCACTACTGGGACTGAGTGCTGAGGACCTCAGGGGTCAATGTCCGCTCACCTGCTGCCGGAGACGTTGTGCCAGGGCTGCCATCTGCTGCAGCGCCTCCTCTCCGCGCTTCTGCGCCCTGGGATCATTGCTCAGGGCTGCAGCCTGCTGCACCACCAGCGAGTAAGAGAGCCAAGCCGCCACAGGCGTCGAGCGGAGGCACCATCTGCTTCCTCAGGAGCGCTGCCTTCGTGTTTGTCAGCTACACAGCCAGAGCACACTCCCACGCCTGTTCTCCAACGGGGCAGGAGCCATGGTCCCAGGTGTTGACAGAACCCAACCTCCTCCCAGCCAGTTCTTACTGCCATCTGGACTTATCCCCTATCTGGACAAAGTCCCCTGTTCCTCAGGCCATGCAGAAGAAGGGACTTTGGCAGAAACTAGCCTGAAGAGGCGCCCAAGACTGCAGGTGGGCAGGTGACCAGGCTCTGATCGCACCTCTTTCACGTCCTCCTCCCCCATCCCACCCATCAGACACCCCACCAGCACCCTAATCTGACCCGCACCAGTTCTGCATGGGGTTGCCTGTGGCTTGAAGGATAATCACCAACGCCCTTAACATGGCTCATAGGTCACAGGGAGAACGACTGAACAGCCCACGGCCGCCCAGAGTTAGCAGCTCACTCTGCGGGAGTCTGGGGCTCAGGCAGAGAAGAAAGGAAGGGACATCGTGGGGGGGCGGCAGGCAGAGCTCAGAAGGCATCCGTCCCAGGGGACATGATGCAAGGAAGTGAGGACTGAGGCAGGCAGGCATAGCACACACCCCTGCCCCCGCCAGCCCAGCTAGACTTTCATTCCTGATTCCCAAAGCAAGGCCACACTGCTGCCCCTGGGATTCCAGCCTCCCCAGTCTACTGGTCTTCCCTTCCAGACTCATGTCCCGTTTCCTCATTGGACTAGGAGCTCCCTACCAGTAGGGAGAGCATGCAGAGAAGGAATCTGTGGGGTGGGGTGGGGTGAGGGGATGGAGGTAAACTCCTGGAGGAGGGGCAGGAAAGACGGGGAAGATGTGCAGCAGTAGAGCCGGAGGGATTTGATTTGGGAGCCCTTCCACTCTTGTCTGTTTGGGCCCAGCCGTCTGTATCAGAGGAGGAGAGGGGAGCAGTCTGTCACATCTCAGGCTGCCAGTCACCGGTGAACAGGAGACTGGTGGCCGCACCCTCAAGACTGGGAAGTCAGAAGCAGATTTGGTGGGAAGGAGACGGGTCTGTGGTTCGTAATGTTGAGTCTGAGCACCCAGGGTCACCCAGGGCTGGATGTGGAGTCACAACCTACAGAGTAACCCCAAGGTCATCCACCCTCTAACACTCTTCACCATCTCCCAGGGGCCTCTGGAACTAGCCCTCCTCATCAGCAAACTCCCTGCGTCCTTCCTCCTCTTCCCCCACCGTTCCCTTCCCCACACCGCCCCCCTCATTGAACCCTGGCTTCCCCTGACGGCTCAGCTCCCCCAGGCCATCTGGCAGCTGCACCACCCCTGTAGCACCCGGGGCCTTGTTACCTCACCCTTTCCTGATTCCACCCCTCCATTACATCACCCCATTTTATCTCCTCATCACACTTACCATTCGCTGAAATTATCTTATTTACTTATGTCTTGCCTTCCTCCCTAAAAAAAATAAGTTCCGTAAAAGCAAGTACCTTGTCAGCCTTTTTCAAAGTGCCTGGCACACGACAGCTGCTCAGTAATATTTCTTAAGTGGAGGAATGATAGATAGGTCGAACCCTCCCTTCCCGCCTTTATCTCGATGTATCTCCTCTATTACCTCTATGGCTCCTTTCTAGCAGCATGTAACACGCTTAAGTCTCTCCCATCTTAAAAAAATAATTTAACATTTTTTCCAAGATTCTCTCAGATCTACATCCTTCATAGCTACCACCCTGACATCTTTCCTCCGCTCCCAGCCAAGTTTCTCAAGTTATCTACACTTGCTGCCTTTACTTCCTCATCTTTCACTCACTCCTCCACCCAATCCAGTCTGGTTTATGCCAAATCATCTCAACAATCTCCCTGAAGTTAATTCAGCAGCATGTGAAGCCATTGCCACCACCCTTCTTGAAATACACTCACTCCTTGGCTTTTGTGACAATGCAGCTCTTGGCTTAAATGTCACTTCCTTCAGGAAGCATTCCCTCACACACACACACACACACACCCAGGATGAACCAGGTACCACTTAGTTTACTCTGATAAAGCAGTGCTTCTGCTTTACTGCACTTCTAACAAGTGTTTTTATGTGGTTGTGCACTTGGTGTCTGTTTGCTAGAAGAATGAAAGCGCCATTCAGGCAGGGACTATTTCTGATTGGTTACCCTGAAGTAATTCCTGTGGGAGGAGTTCAATATGCTTATTGGATGGATGGAGATGAAGGGGGTATAGAGATGGGGAACTGGATGGATGAGGACTTGCAGACGAGGAGAAAGTCCCAGGTTGAATATATACTGGGAGCTATTTGTCCTTATGGGCACAAAGCAAGGTCAGAGCAGTAGTTAAGATAAATGTGAAAAGGGCTGAGGACAGGGGCTGACCAGGACATTCCTGTTTAGGATGAGAAGGAAGTAACAGGTGGGCCAAAAGGGTTCACTAATAACAAATCACCCACTCCTCCATTCAACAAGCCTTCACTGGGTACCCACTGAGTACCAGGCGCCATGCTGGGTGCTGGACATGCAAGGGCAAACCCCACACGGCCCTGACCCTAGGTGACTTCATCTGCCTCAGGTGCAGTGGGCCGCCACTCCCAATCTCTGTGTAGGAAACCTGGGAGGTCTCGCCAAGGCTGGCTGGGACGCTCAAGACTTGATGAGACTTAATTATGTGGCAATCTCTTATGCCCAGGTTGTCTGAGCAGGTGGTCTGGGGTGACACACCCCACGGCTCTTTCCATGGCTCTGATCTGATTGTTTATTGGCGACTTGGATGAGGTTGGAGAGGTCCAGTGCTCAGATCTGTGGATGGACAAAGCTGGGAGGCAGAGCAGAAAGAGTGGGCAACAGAGCCAGGATCCCAAAGGCTCTCAACAAGCTGGAGCTCTGGGATGACCCTAAAAGATGGTGCTTTTTAGGGACAAGTGGCAGGTCCTCTGTGTGTCCTAAACTCCAATATCACAACCCTTCTGTAAACAGACACCAGCAGAGGAGCACAGTGCCTGGACGTGGCTTCTGTCTCCAGTGTTGTGGTCACTTAGCACAGAACCTGGCACCCAGAGGGTGTTTACTGCCTGTCCTCGGGATGATTGTGCAGACAAGGAAAGTACACTAAGTCTGGAGTCGGGCATGTGGATTCAACTCTTCTCTGTTCAAGTCTTTGTCCTTGGACAAATCAGCAACGCCTTTCTGAACTTCAGTTCCCTCATCTATAAAATGGAAGTAATAATGCCTACTTTTTCCAATGAGATAATGGATTATCAACTCCACAACCTAATCAATATTGGATTCTATTATTAAGACACAGTCCCTGCTTTCGAGCATGGACAGAAGCACCAAGAAGCCCTTTCAACACAGCCTGACAGTTGTAAGAGGATGACCACCCTTACCTTGGAATAGTGGGATGTGGGGGGCGGGGATCTTCAGGTGGAGACATGAGGAAGAGCATTCCAGGCAGAGCAAGCACAGTGCACAAAGGGCATGGAGGTGGGAGGTGTGCAGTGCCCTGAGCACCATCTCAGGGCCCCAAGGAAGAGGAAGAATCAGAGTAGTCAGTTGCATGGCCAGGGGAAGCGTGGCCTTGTGGGTCAGAGCCAGGAGTCTGGACTGAGCACAAGGTTTTAGGCATGATGAGGTTTGTTTTTAGAAAGGTCACTTATCTGCCATAGGAAAGACAGTTGGAGAAGACCAGTCTGAAGAGGGGAGGCCAGGCAAGAAGCTATGGCAGTGGACCGGGGAGTAGGGGAAAGGCTGAGACCAGGAAGTAGCCACGTGACTTAGAGGGTATTGAGGCGGCTGGACTGGTCAGACAGGAAGAGGCGGCGGCTGGCTTATGCTGTCACTCCTCTGTGCCTCAGCATCATGGGACACCAGGCAGAGGCTCTGACACCGAATGAATCAGATATCGATTCTAACTCCCCTGCTTCTAGCTGTGGGACCTTTCTGTAAAATGGGGACACAATCACCGACAACATGGTGAATAGGATAAAATGACACGATCACTATAAAGTGCCCAGAAGGTAGATGGCTCATATTCAGAATGTCCTCCCCTCCTTGTCCTGATTAAAAGTCACCTGATCACTTCATTCATTAAATACGTACATCTTTACTATCACACCCGCCTGCCTCCCTGCCTCCTTTCAGTCAACGAATATCCTCCAGAATGCAGCTCCGAGAGGACAAGACCCCAGTCTGCCGCATTCATCACTTCAGTCCCAGCATCCAATACAGCGCCTGGTCCCTAGGAGATGCTCAGTTAATGTTCACTAAATTAACTAAGCACCTTCTAGGCACTGTTCCACATGCTGAGTATCAGGCTGAGCACGACAAAGTGCAGCTCTCAGGAAGCTTGCCTGAGTGGAGACAAAAAAAAAAAAGTATGATTCCAGATAGTGATAATGCTATAAAGTACAAAGGGTGGCATGTTAGAAGGTGTCAAGGGGGACTGTTTGCCAAGTGGGTGATCAGGGAAGGTGACATTGGCGCCAAGTGTTCCAAACAGAGGGACAGCTAACACAGAAGCTCTGGAGCAGGGACCAGCTTGAGACGATCGAGAGACCAAAGGGTGCTCGTGTGGCTGGAGCACGCACAACGAATGAGAGGAAGAGACATCCAGGAGGAGGCAGGGGGGTGGGCAAGGGCCACGTCACGTGGGGCCTCGCAGGACTCGAGGAGGAGACTGGATTTTATTTGCAGTTGATTGGAAGCCATTGCAAGGTCTTAAGGAGAGAGGTGGATGGATCTGATATACACTTTTTTTTTTTTTTTTTTGCGGTACGCGGGCCTCTCACTGTTGTGGCCTCTCCCGTTGCGGTGCACAGGCTCTGGACGCGCAGGCTCAGCGGCCATGGCTCACGGGCCTAGCTGCTCTGCGGCATGTGGGATCTTCCCGGACCAGGGCACGAATCCGTGTCCCCTGCATCGGCAGGTGGACTCTCAACCACTGCGCCACCAGGGAAGCCCTGATATACACTTTTAAATGATCACTCTGGCTGCTGTATGGAGAATGGATTGGCGGACAGGTGAGGAAGGAAGCAGGGAGCCCAGTTTGGTTATTAGTGTCCAGGTGAGAGGCAGGTGGCTTGGACCACAGTGTAGAGGTGGAGGTGGAACGCAGGGGGTACTCGCTTCCTCGCTGACCACCTCCGCCGCCCTCAGCAGCATTTGGCCCCATAGTCTACCCTTTCCCCCCAGCCCTGATCACAAGAGAGCCAACGTGCTTGCATCCTCCACACACACAGGCCCAGGAGCCTCTCAGGGATGGGATCCAGGCTTGGCGGAACTCCGGCACCACTAAGCACGGGGCTGGGCACAGCCCTGCTGGGGTCCAAGGGTGACATCAATAAACCAGGGAAGGAATGGAGGAGAGGTGGGCCCCCACGGCAGCCTCGTGTCTGAAAGCACGAGGCTATCATTAACCAAAGAGAGAAATGGGGCAGGAAGCTGGGGCAGATGGCACGTGGTTTTATGGAAGGATATGAGGCAAAGTGACGGAGCAGTTAAGAGAAATCAGGGCAAAGTGCAGCAGCTGCCTGGTCACCCCAATCTAGGCATCCATGTGGGTCGGGCCTTCTAGTCAGCCCCAAGGTAGGGCCTCATGTCTGCCCTGAGACTTGCCCCACTGAGGCAGGGATGTCACTGGCAGAAAGTACAGGTGCCACCGGGCATGTGACTTGGAGGGGAAAGCACCACTGGAGAAGCAGGAAAATCTCGGTGGAGAAGGGAGCCTTGGGAAAGCAGATTGCCCTGAAAAGAACATGAAGGAGGTCAGGTGGGAGCCAGGGGCCCACCCTGCCCGAGGGCTCAGGCCAGAAGCATCTCCGACAGCAAGCGGGCGAGTTAGGGCTGGAGCCAGGGAGGAGCGAGGCAGCTGTGCTGGTGGACCCAAGAAGCCCCCCAGTCATCCAGATGAGCTAACCCTCCACCCACCAGGCAAAGCAGTCCAGTAAGAGGTGAGCTGGCAAACTGGGCAGAGCTGAGCCTGAGCTGAGACAGCTCACTTCCACCCCGCAACTGTCAAGTCCCAAATCACCTCTCTCTCTACCTGGGCCACAGCCCTAGCTCAGGCCCCAGGCCCCCTTCCCCACATTAGGATCATGGAGCAGCCTCGTTACCCTCTCCAGGCTCTGCCCCTCCAGCCTACTCTCCTCGCCACACCTGTCTGATCCTTCAAGAGCGCCCCATTGCCCTTGAGACTGGATTCAAGTTCCTGAACTGGCCCTCCAAGTCCACCTTGATCTGACCCCCACCTACATCTCTGCTCCTCCTGTGCCCATTCTGGCTGTAGTACTGTTCCTTCTCCCTGGGATGTCCTCGTCCCCTATCTCAGCCCTGGGGACCTTCTATACTCAACACAGACACTCCTCCTTCAGGAAGCCTTCCCAGAACACTCCAGTCCTGCGCTGGCCCTGCAAGCACTCTCTGCTAGATCACCTTGTCTTGTGCTCGCCTCCTCAGTCCTGCAGGTTCCTCTCCCCAGCAGCATCCCAGACTCCCCGCTGCCCTGTGCCCGGCCCTGTGCTGGCCACTGAGGACAAAGACGTAGAAATAGTATCCCTGCCATCAAGGAGAGCCAGTGTGCTAAGGGTGGTGACCCACCCGCGGATGCCCACCACACAGCGCAGACTGGGAGGAAACAGCCCACCTACTCCAGGGCTCAGAAGGAGAAAGAGGGATCTGAGCTGGGCCTCAGAGGATTTAATGGTAGGGGAGCAGAAAGGGCATTCCCAGCAGAGGCAAGGAGAAAAGACAATGTCTAACAAAGTAGGGCTTAGTCTAAGGGGGGTGGGAGGGGTGGGTGTGAAGTGCTGGGGCCGCATCGCCCATCCTGAGAAGCTTGTGTCCATCCTGCGAGTGATAGGAACCAGAGGAGGTTTTGGAGCAGGAGACTGACGTGGCTGGAGTCAGGTTCTAGAAGGTCGGGTCTCCAACCCCCAGTGCCCTAACGATGACTTCCAGAAAGGACAGACCAGGAACCGATTCTTGACTGTTAGCGGGCCTTTGCCCATGTCATGCCCACAGGCTGCCACGTTGGGGGTGTCAGGGCAGGGAGGGAAACAGGGGAGGGAGCGAGGTCCAGACTCAGTGGGTTTGGGCTTCTTGCAGGGGCGAGGGGGAGGGACTTGGAAGCCTCTGCCCCAGGCTGAACACTTCCTCCAGGGTGGCAGCTGTGCCCTGACTACGCTGGGCGTGGCTCCAGTGGGTCTCAGGTCCTCTAGGGCCAGGCGGCGGCAGTCAGCATGGCTGCCTCTCGGGGGTCATCAGTCGCTCCACCTCCCGCATGAACCGCAGACACAGCTCTTCCTGCCACGGCAGAGCCACGCACTGCACAGCCACAGGCAGGCCCACGCTCTTCTTCACGTTCTGCAGGGGACACAGGCGTCAGGACCCCACCCTGGGCCCAGGAAGCACCCCAGCTGGAGAGGAGGGCAGCACGGCAGGGCCAGCCCGCAGTCTTTAGGGGTCTTGCATTAAGAAAGACTGACGAGAGGATGTGAGGGCGATCTGGCTGTGACACCTGTCACCCCATGGATCGCCAGGGTTGACTTGGCTGATCTGGCTGGCTAGGCGGGTGTCCCCTTCCTCCCTCACCACTCCACGTGCGTCCCTCCCGAAGCTGCACGCTCGGTGGAAGAGGACGACCTTCCCCGATAGAGGAGGACCGTTCTTCCGTCAAGGGTATACGAGCAGCTGCGCTCCCCTGCTAGAACCTCCAAACAAGCTCTCAAGACAGACAGACAAGGATACTCGTGTTTATACTATCTCCTCCACTAGAGGAAGGGGAGCAGGTGTGAGTCCAGGGGAAAAGGGACTTACCTTCCGCAGCGCCTTGTCCCAGATATCCCCAAAGTAGCCCTTGTAATGCTCCAACTGGGCCTCGTCCTCAGCGGTCACCGTGGTGACAGGCACTACCCCCGCAGGGAAGTCCAGGCAGTTGTAGAGCACAGTGTAGCTGATGGCCCCTGCGACACAGCACATGTGGCTGGAGCAGGTTGGGTGACCTTCCATGACAACTGTCCTCTCTGAGCCCCAGTCTTCCACCCTGTGAAATGGCACCCTGCATCCACAGACAGGGAGAGGTTCTCTCCTAGGGCTGAGACTTGAGTGAGAGCCCGGGAATCCAGATTCAGGGCGGGCTGGAGAGTGCGCTGACGAGCTTGCCCTGTGCCTCTTCCCTGCAGCTTCCCCCCACCTGGACTGTTGTTGCTGTCTTCCTGGTTTATCTAAATCCCACCTGGGCTTCAAACACCACCTCCCAAAACCACAGACTCTGTAACATGATCTCCAACTTGAACAGTGCTGAGGACAGGGTCCCACATGACTCCCATCTCTCCAGCCACCCAGACTGTGAGCCTCTCAAGGGTGGAGTCCTCCCCCAGGGGGGCAACCCACCCGCAGGGTTCCTCTTCTTCTACCTCCCAGCAGCCCCACCAGGCAAAGGGCTGAACTCATAGAAGAGAAGAGACAGGTGACAGGGCTGTGATGGGGCTGCAAGCCTCACCTGTGGCCTTGCCTGGGCCATTCAAGTCTAGAGCAGGGCCCAGCATGGGGGTGAGCAGCACATCCAGCTCCACTGCTCTCCACTGGGCAATCACAGAGTGACGGTACACCTGGGGAGGATACCCGTACACCAGGTGAAGCACTCAGACCCAGCCCGTTACCTGGACTCTCCAACGCAGGCACTGTGGCTGGGGTGACTCTAGCCCTGCACCTGCCCCGGATGTGAACTGAACCACAGTGGGATGGAGGACCTCGGGGGTATTCAGACAGGGCTGCTCTCAGGGGGCATCACCTGCTCCACAGAACCACAGACACCACTCTTCCTACCAGGGCAGGGCCATGGAGTGCTGGCTACAGGCAGCATCAGAGTGGCAAAAGAGGTATCCAGGACAGGAGCCCCAGGCTGACCCAGGCCCCTAGAACGGGTCTCTGGGCAAGTGAGGGTCTGACAGCAGTCCCCAAGCGGCCCGATCCAGGGAGTGGAAGGGAGAACGATGGGCCACTCCAGGGGATCAGTGGGACCAGTGACCGAGAGACCCCAACGCAGGTGGCCTGTCCAACTCCACCCCCCACCCGCCCTACTCTAGTCGAGAGGCTCTGACCTCACCTCAATCTCGTGGTGCAGTTCCCAGAGCTTTCCAGCTGACCTGGACAGAGGGAGTGAGGTCACTGACCATGACGATCCCAGCCATGGGGATTAGCAACATCAGACCCCTACTCTCAACACCTCCCAGATCTCATTCCTCCGTGGACCCTTCTCAATGCCAGGGCACTCTGAGAGGAAAGTAGTGCAGGGCAGAAGTTCTAATCCCTAAGTTCATGTCCCACTGAGTCCCCAGGAGGGACCTAGGCCTGACTCCTTGCTACCCTCAGGACACAGGAGAGGCCAGAGCCACCCAAGGTCCTAAATGCCTGGTGGTAACAGAAGGAGGAAGTCCACAAGATGTCAGGGCCTGAGAATGGGACAACTTATTCCCAGCTTTTCCGGCATGAGCAACTGAGGGGCAGGCAAGAGAGGGCGCGGTGCAGTCTGATCTCTAAGAGTAGCACCCTCATGGGTTCCCAGCATCCCCCGCTCCTGCCTCCCGCCAGCTCCTTCCCGGGCCTTTCCACCCGTGCCCAGCCAGGGCAATCTTCTCCTCTCCACCCCCTCCCATTCTGTGCTCTCCCAGGTCCTTGCTCTCCAGGCTTTCCTGGACCTTGCTAAGACATCTTCAAGATCCTCCTCGAAAGCCACAGAGGTTGCCACCCTGCCTGGGCCCTTTCCAGCCTCAGAAGCTACTTCTCTCATCTTTTCCTGTTGGAAAGCACTTGGACCCAGG